CTTGCACTACATATGCAATGTCAATTCTAGTCATAGTAAGATATAATAACTTTCCTACTAGCTGTTGATATTGAGTAGGATAAACAAGTAATGTATCTTCATTTGTAGAACTTGCTTCCTTAGTTATAAAATCATCATAGTCAACAGATGTAAGTTTCAGATTTGTTTCCAAAGGTGTGTTAACTGGTTTAGTGCCACTCAATCCCAACTCACTAATTAGTACTAATGCATACTTCCTTTGGCTCATCATTATTCCCTTTTATGATCTCGCAAATTCAATTCCTAGAAAAACTTCAATTCTCCAAGATCTTTCATTTTGAACTTTAGCTTTAAGTCATTCCTTGTTTGTAGAATCAGGTCTGTATTGCTTCCTGTTACCAGCAAATCATCCACATAAACTAAAACAATTACCAGCTCTCCTTGAACTGTCTTGGTGAATAAAGAATAGTCAAAATGACTTTATGAGAAGCCAAGTTGTACCAATGCATCTGTGAGTTTCTTGTTCCATTGCCTAGGTGCTTGTTTGAGTCCATAAAGAGACTTATGTAATTTGCAGACAACATGCTTCCCCTCCTGGCTGGCAAAACCAGAAGGAACCTCTAAATACACCTCCTCTACTAAATCCCATTGAAGAAAAGCATTATGAACATCCATCTGAAAAATAAACCAATGTTTAGCTGCTGCCACAGCCACAACTGACCTGACAGTAACCATCTTAGCAACTAGAGAGAAGGTCTCAGTGTAATCTAACCCCTCTTGTTGGCTATAACCCTTTGCCACAAGTCGAGCCTTGTACCTTTCCACAGCTCCGGAAGATGTGTATTTAACTTTGAACACCCATTTACACCCAATAGGTTTCTTTCCAGATGGTAGTTCAACTAAACTCCAAGTGTGATTATCTTGTAATGCTTGAATTTCATATTGCATAGCAGCAACCCAATTGGGATCTTTAATAGCCTCACTATAGAAGTGGGTTCTTTGATGACTAAATAAGATGCTAAAGCATCTCTAAAAGGTGATAAGTGATCATAACTGACCACATCAGATACTGGATAACAACAATTGGCACTTCCTTTGCTTGTGGATACATAGTCATGCATCTAAATAGGAGGCTTAGTAGTCCTGGAAGATTTTCTAACAACTGGTACTGCTGGAGATTGTAGTGCTGAAGATTCAGAGGCAGAAGCATCACCCATAGAAGGAACATATGCAATAGAAGAAGGAGCAGGAAAACTGAAGGATAACTGATCATTATCCTCTATATAGGAGACCTGAAGTTCATCTTCCTTCAGAGAAAACAAATGATAAGGAGAAGTGGAAATTGTCTTAAAAGGAAAAGAATTTTCCTGAAATAAGACATCCCTACTTGTCAAAAATACTTTGGACTCCAAATCATACATAGTATAACCTTTTTTTGACACCGAGTAACCAAGAAATACTGCAGGAATAGCTCTTGGAGAAAAATTGTCCACCTTTCTAACCTGAGTTACATATCCCAAACAGCCAAAGACTTTCATGTGAGCTAGAGAAGATGGGTGGTTGTGAAGTTTCTCAAAAGGAGATTGATGGCAGAAGGCAATCTATTAATTATGTATACAGTAGTGGTCACACAATAACCCCAAAACTTCAATGGTGCACCAGCCTGAAATCTGATAGCTCTTGCTACTTCTAAAATGTGTCTATGTTTCCTCTCTGCCACTCCATTTTGTTGTGGAGTGTAAGAGCAAGAACTTTGATGAACAGTACCAAAAGACTTCAGCAATCCATTCATTTGTGAGTTAAAGAACTCACACCCATTATCAATCCTAAGACACTTCACAACAGAAGTATAAACAGTCTGAACCATAAGCAAAAATTCCTTAACAACAACAACTTCAGCTTTAGAAGATAGTAGAAACAACAAAGTATATCGAGAATAATCATCAACAAGCGTAAGAAAGTATTTTTTTCCATTATAAGTAGGAACTCTATAAGGACCCCAAACATCACCATGAACTAATTGAAAACAACAATCAGATGTTGTAGTGCTTAATGGAAAAGACAGCCTAGTTTTTTTGCTAAAGGGAAAACATTACAACTCTTGATACATTTGTCCCAATGTGTAGAGGTAGGACAAAACAACTTGCTTATAGTTACAGAAGAGGTGTGACCCAACATCTTGTGCCAAAGATTCATATTATAGCTATCAGAATCTATAGAAGAAACTCCAAGTGATGAAGAACAAGCATTAGTAGCTACAGCAGCAGCATTTGTTGTAAATGCTTTCTTATGACCTGATTGGAACACATACAAGCCACTTTCTTCTTTACCAATCCCCTTCACCTTGCCACTTGAGAGATCCTGAAGAATACAAAAATCAGGATAGAATAATACAGCACACTGGAGCTCCTTTGTCAGTTGAGAAACAGACAACAAATTGTATTTGATCTCAGGAATATGCATGACATTGGTTATCTCTTGACCAGGAAAGAGACATGATGACCCTGTGTGAGTTACATTAACTACATTACCAGTAGGCAAATGAACTTTTTCTAGACCATTCTTGTTTACTATTGTAGTGTGGGATAAAAGCGCAACAGAGCTAACCATATGACTAGAAGCACCAGAATCCACTATCCACTTAACATCATCTGCAGTGATAGTAGTACAAGGGATCATACCTGCTGTCAAGGCTACATGATCAACTTTAGATTTTTATGAATCAAGCATGGTTAAGATTTGTTTGTATTGTTGCTCAGTAAATTGAGGAATAGCACCAAATGCATCAGTAGAACCTTTGGACATGTGAGAAGATCCTGCAAAATTGGCAGATTGACATCCAAACTGATTTCCACTATCACTAGGATTAGGATTGCCCTTACTAGTGTCATTGTCCTTGAGATATGACCCTGTTTTCTTCTTGAATTTATAATTTGGAGGATATCCAATTAACTTGTAACAAACTGCTTTTGTGTGACCTGTGAGATGGCAATGATCACAGTAGAGATCACTTCTTCTGCTTCTGCCCTTGTAAGAGGAATTGTTCCCCTGATAGTAAGTGTGTACATTAGAGTTGCTTTTACCACTAAACAAAGTTGTCCCTTCAGCAATTTCAGAACTGTAAGAAGAAGAACCGAGAGATCTTTGACTTTCCTCAGAAATGATCATGGCATATGCCTTATTAATCGATGGAGTAGGAAGCATCATCATGATGTGATTAATGGACTGTGAGTAAGACTCATTTAAACCCATAAGAAATTGAAGAAGGCGTTGATACTTGAAGTGTTCCACATATTTCCTAGACTCAGCACAATTACATCCAGGACATGGCATCAATGTATCAAATTATGCCCATAGTTCTCTTAGTTTTGAGAAATAGGTTGAAACAGAAGAAACTCCTTGAGTAAGAATAGAAATTTGTGAATGAAGGAAGAAGACTCGAGATCCATTAACCTTGTCAAATCGTTCTTGGAGATCAGTCCACACCTTATATGCACTTGTAGCATATATAATTCCACTAAGTAATTCAGTACATACAGAATTCATAATCCATGAAAGGACTATAGCATTACATTTCTCCCACAAATCATGAAGAGAAACATCAAATTTCTCCTTAGGATATCGACCATCCACAAATCCTAACTTGCTTTTACCTAACAGACTAATTCGCATTGAACCACTCCATAATGCATAATTCTCAGGGCCTGCTAGTTTAATCAAAATTAGGGAACTACCTGGTGTATCATTGGGCTGAAGAAACAAAGGATGATGTTGATCGATTGTTACCATAGTAGGCACAACTCCAGCTCCAATTTCCAGATCTGCAGGTGAACTAGTATTCACCATTGTTGAGAATGTCGAATATCTCAAATAGGAGAATTGAAAATAGCAATGAAATGAGGTGAAACAAAGAAGACGTGAAACCAGAAACAGAGAGAAGATCGAAGAAATATGAGGTCGATTACTCAAGCTCTGATACCATGCTAAGATCCTTGATCTTCACCATGTGAGGACCTTCAAGATGAGAGAAGAGAAGAGAAGAGAGGAAGAAATATAATGTTTGAGTGTATTCAAGATGTTGAATAAAAGATATTTTTCCATTAATTAGTATTTTGAGTTAGTTGTATTTTGTTAGTTATATTGTTAGAAAGTTAGTTAGAGTTAGTTAGAGTTTGTTAATGAGATGTATACATACAATATGTACAGATCTTTTGAATACAAGTTGAATACACTCAATCATTATATTTCTTCCTCTCTTCTCTTCTCTTCTCTTCTCTCATCTTGAAGGTCCTCACATGGTGAAGATCAAGGATCTTAACAGTGACAACTAGAGATTTTAAACGAAATCTTTAGATTGAATTCTACCTCTCACGTTTCCGTTTGTTGCAATGAAGACTAAAAAAAATCTTTAGACAACCCTTCGTGTGACTATAATAGTACATTTTCGTCTTCAAGGAAAACAACCTCTAAATTCAATTTTATCTTCGTTAGGAGCTGACATGAATGACTTTATATTGTTGTTGCAGTCAAAATCTTGGATTTTTGAAAATGAATTAATTGAATTTTCATATATCTATTTTTCATGTACATCTATGGGTTCATTGATCTCCATGTTAAATTTCTTTATACTCAATTTCAATCATTCATCAAATTCTTAGGTGTTCTTTTGAAGATAAATTTATACTATCAATTAAACAAAATATAAATTTAGTTCCTAACTTAATTCTAGATATTTCAACATCCCATCAAACTTGGTGTTATTTTATCCCACCTCTCAAATGAAATAACTTAAACCAAGAAATATAATCTCGTAATAACTTAGTATTCAAACCAAATGACCAAATCTAAACAATACTCATATAGCTACTTAAAATCAGAAATCTGTATGAGCAAATTTGTATATAGAGAGAAATTTGTATGCCTACGTAAGAACAAGAATGAGGACCACAAAACTAACCTTTAATTGCCTTGAAATAAAAATTAATGTACTATGTAGTATTTGAGTGAACAGGATCCAAATAGAAAGGATATAAGGTTGATATTTGATAACCACAAAATTAAACCAACATCAAATTTCTCACAAAGAAAAGTAGTACCACCAAATATCCTCTGATTATACATTACAATGCAGAAAACTCAGATAAACAGAATTTAACATTTATTCAGTTATTATATCTCCTAGCAAATTGAACAACTTCTTGTTTTACAGACTCACTAACTTGAGTGTGTTTGCCTTCTCCTGCAAACTGTCAAGCAAGCTATCGAAACTCTTCTTGAAAGAATCCACACCCTCCAATTCAAGTTGAGACCCGACAAAGCCCCAGTCAATACCCAACTTCTCGAGGGCGCTGTAGATACCTTCTGCTTCAGATAAGTTTGCGTCAATCGTCCTTGCAACAGAACCGTGATCAATAAATGCTTGAAGAGCTTGGTCAGGCATTGTTGAAACCTAGCAGAAATTTCATTAGAGGTCAACCATCATTCATGCATACACAGGTAAACGGATTATTCACATCTTTAATATTTGTCCCCATTAGCCTAGGGGTCCTGTATTATGATTTCTTTTTTCTTTTTTCAGATAAATATAGCCCTCTAGGTCAACAGGAGACAAGAATGTAAGCTCCCGTTTGGAAATAGATGTAACTTGAAATTTTGAGTTCTAGAAGTAGTGATTGGACATGCATTTTACTTCGTGAGCTAGTTTATAGAAACATGAAAAAAAAAATAAGATCGGATTTTGAAAATCTTATCAAATTTCATGGCCAAACAGATATTTGAAGATAAATTTTCAAGATCTGATACAAAAATCTATGACCAAACGCTAGCTAAATAGTGACTCTGAAAATCTAATCAAATTTCATGGCCAAACAGATATTTGAAGATAAATTTTCAAGATTTGATACAAAAATCTATGACCAAATGCTACCTAAATAGTGGCTTTAAAAAAGGTGATTCGTGCAAATGCCCCCCAAGTAATATTTAATTAGAGGCAAATCAAAAAAAGTGGTTTTATGTCTTCTTAAGGATTTACAATCACCACAAAAAGAAGGTGAGAAGATGACTCACAGTGTCCGGTCCAATCAGAGGATCCACATATAAAGTGTCGGGATACGCTGGGTTCTTAACACTAGTTGAGGCCCACAATAGCCTCTGCTTCTTGGCACCTTTCTTTACCAACGCCTCCCATCTAGGACCAGAAAATTTCTTTTGGTAAAGATCGTAAGCTAGAGCAGCCTGTGCATTTGCAGCCTGCAATGGAAGTACAACAATCTGACTTTATCCAGAACTTGTATTTCTCTTGCATCCTAAAAGGAGTAGAAAAATTTGAACAAGTAGTAGGTACCTTCCCACGAAGATCAAGAGCCTCTGGAGTTCCAATTTTCTCAAGCAACTTGTCGATAAGTGTGTCTACTCGACTAACGAAGAATGATGCAACACTTGTGACTCTGGATAGATCACTTAGCCCAGAGGCCTCAAGACCATCAAGGTAAGCATCAATGACTGCTTCATATCTTGAAAGAGAAAAGATAAGCTGTGCGTACACATAGGATCTACTTCAGTATTCAAGAAACCGATAAGGTACAAAAAGGCAAATGAAAACATGAAACATTTAAATGAAAAACTGAATGACAGTTCTTTACACAGCAAAGACATAATTCTCCATTCACTAATTAATTCCCTGTGCAGATAGCTGTCTTAAGCACCACTAGACAAGCAACCTTCAATCTCATGCATGAACCGTCAAGTTGTCAACAAAGGCGACAGTGAATCAACTTACCGTCACATTGACACTTATTCCAAGTGAAATGACTTCCTTGATGGAAGGAATGCATGGAGCAGTAGCGGGAATTTTAATATACACATTGGAACGTTCAACCTTCTTATGAAGCCACTTTGCAGCCTCCACAGTCCCCTCTGTATCATCAGCAAGTCTAGGTGAGACTTCAACAGAAACGTACCCATCGCCACCATCTGTTTTATCATAGATTGTCTCAAAGAGTTTGCATGCATCTTGGATGTCCTTTACCACAAGTTCCCAATACACACTGTCTATATCTTTTCCAGCTTGTACAAGTTCCCTGTAAAGAGCAGTGGATAAAGATAAGCAGAGTGCAAAACAGGAAGCACGAACAGGGTTAGACGTAATGTGAAGAATATCATAGATGCATTTCAGGTAATATGTGTCAAAAGGAAACTTTGGAAAAAAACACAAAATATCCTATAGAATTGCAAGTCTTTGAACCCTATAACAATCTGATTAACATTGGTAATGGTATTATATAACATGCAGATGCTCGTCATAAAGCTCCAAGCATGAGCCAAAGGGTGGAACAGTCCTACCAAATCCAACCTTTGTATGGACATTTGACCAAACAGAAACATTTATTATACTTTCCCAAGACCAACTCTTGTTATTGTCTTCATTCTATGTCTCCTCTCCTATTTTACTCTAAAAAACGGTTTGTAAATCCGTTCAGCTGATGAGAAACACTTGAAAGTCTAGATTACCTGAACTGGTCATTGTAAGCATTTGATGTTGATATAGCTTTCTGGAAAATCTGCAATCATCAAAGTAATAGTTAGGTACAGGTTCATGGAATAACAAGTAGAAACTAGAAACTGTAGAAATTTTATCCAAATAGAGCACACGGTGCGTATCCTATCGGTAGAGCAAAGTTTACCGCCGGATTGCTGGTTACACCTCTGACACCACTGTCAATCAATGGAATGAGATCGGTGACGGGACGACACAGATTGTCATACCATGGGCTCTGTCCTTGCGTCTCATAGAGATGATGGAGAGTAGTTTTCTTCACTGAGCTTCCATTTCCATCAGCTTGGGAGCATTTGACACTGTCAAACATTAAATATGATTAAATTTTTTGCATTAGAAATTGGAGAAAATGGGAATCCCCTGAAATTTGAGTCATGATGCTTTTAGTTGTTTCAAATGCCTAGAGTAAAAATAAGGCAATTTTTTTTCAATGTATGGGTAGAAACCATACGGAAAAGGAATTGTTACCAATTTCCACAAGCACATCAGAATCGAACAGGCTATCTACATGAATTTTGCGTAGGAAGCAAATAATAGTGAAGTTGAGCAATACAAAAAGGTCATAGAACAAAGAGCAAACTCTACCGACCCTTATTCTGGATCCACACCTCCAAAAAACTTTTCCACAAACTACCACTAAGTAGAACAAAAAATAGTACTCCATAGAGATAGAGATTTTACCACAAAGATGCCCTAATAGAAGGATTGATAACAAGTGATAACTTGGAGCCAGAGAGGGTGTGATTAAAGGTGCTAGTACGAAGATGGACAACAAACTTAGGTGTTGATGAAGATCTGCTACCATACGAGGTTGAGCTGAAGCATGGATTCGAGAGCTTACAAATGCTAGTCATTTTCTTTTTTTTCAGAGAGAAAGGAGAAAGGAGAAATGGAGTTGGTGGGCGTTTTTTTGATCGATATGAACGAGGGTCATCAAATAGTAGGGGTTTAAGGGTTGTTGTACCTCACTTATATTATTTATTTTAGGGGTTGTTTGGTTCGCAAATGAGTTATTTTACTTGGTATTTCTAATTACTCTTTTGGTTTGATTGCATTTTTTTAAAGTCAATTTTATTAATTTTTAAAATTAAATTAGATTAAATTAATTTGATATCTTAAATAAAAAAAATTTAATATTCAAAAACTATAGAAAAAGTACTATAAATTGTAATTTTTTATATGATAAGAAATAAATTTTATAATATTAGTTCAAAAAATTTATAATTTAATTATAAAAAAAAATCATAACAACTAAAAATGGACCGAATATAAAATAAAAGAAAATGGACTAAAATGTTTATGAATTATTAAGAACTAGGTAATTTACCCGCGCTAAATAATTGCATTGAAGTTGCAATTTTTTTTACTAATAATCATAAATTAAAAATAATGAGAAATAGGTTCTTAAAAACATATTAGCAATATTCTAACATGAATAATGATTATTTCTCACTATCACATGACTCAAGAACCTCTAATGAATAAATTATTGACGAAATAATAAATTATTAATTCTTTAAACAACATTAAAAAGAAAATAAGAAGAAAATAAGAATATATATATATATATACACACACACACACACACACACAACG